GCCTTACACACCCCTTCTCAACCAGATGAGGCTGCTACTCTAGCCACCCATTTCACAGCTGAAGGGCCGTGAAAAGATGTAAGAACCGAGGTCATGTGGACAAGATGGAATGGCGTATAAACATGCTCAGGTAGAAACGACACAGCAAGTAAATTAAGCACATTTGTGGGTGCCTTTAGTCCTTGTCTCCAAATACATACTCTATGCAATGACTAGGTTTCCTAAAAGGAAATGTTTCTCCTACTTTTCAATCTTTGGTTCAATATTGCCTTGAGAATTCAATATGGAATAAAATCTGCGTTTATGTTTACCAATTTAAACAGACATTTACTATATTTACCAATTTCAACAGACATTTAAAGTGACTTTTCTGGTAGTAAGGAGGTGGTTAAATCATAAGCACCACACTTTCACATTTCATAGAAAATTTCAATGTGCAAATTTTAAAACTTTAACCTACAGGGGAAAATCCCAAAGTTCAACCAGATACAAAGCTCATTTCTGTTGCCTGTTTTCCTCTCTAAAAGTTTACAATATCAACGCCGGGCTTGGTTGGCTCACAGCTGTAATCCCAGCACTTTGGGAGGCTGAGGCAGGCGGATCACGAGATCAGGAGTTCAAGACCAGCCCAGCCAACATGGTGAAACCCGATCTCTACTAAAAATAGAAAAATTAGCTGGGCATGGTGGCATGTGCCTGTAATCCCAGCTACTCAGGGGAGGCTGAGGCAGGAGAACTGCTTGAACCAGGACCCAGGAAGCCGAGATCACACCAATGCACTCCAGCCTGGGCTATAGAGCAAGACTCTGTCTCAAAAAAAAGTTTATAATATCAGACCTGGAACCCCCAAATATAGAGACTCAGAAAAATGAAACAGGTAATAGATGAGGCTAGTGAAAACAGATCACCTGGAGGGCGAGTACTATTATTTTTCAGATACTATTCAATTCCAAGGTAATAACACTTATGTGCTATTTTAGGTGTGATGACAGTCAACAAAGAAAAGCCACAAATCACTGGAATTACATTCACTTCATCACTAGCTGAATGAGATAGCTGGAAAAGGAATGTGTCTTTCCCAATACACCCTTGGGTCAGAAATCCAAGCGTTTATTTTGAAACAGAAAACTGACCCTGTGGCTCAAAAAACTCTACGCTAAAATTTAAATTTAGACCAAATGGATCTGCTGGATTTGTTTCAGTTTCACCAGGCATTTTTCATGATTAATAAATTATACTACAGGTATTCACATTGCTATGATTAGGTCATTCATCACCCAACCCCATTAAAGCATTACTTTCACTAATGTTCAGTTCCCATCCCTGCACAGTTCAGATGTACTCTTCAGTATTCATAAGCTTTAACCAGTTTTTGAGTTTAAGAAGACCCCCTACTGAGGTAGTCCCTCTTCACAGGAGCCCGTTAGGCAGGAGGTTTAATTATGGACTCAAGTCTATTAAAACATTTAGGGCCAGGTGTGGTGGCTCACGCCTGTAATCTCAGCCCTTTGGGAGGCCAAGGCGGGCTGGTCACCTGAGGTCAGGAGTTCCAGACCAGCCTGGCCAACATGGTGAAACCCCCCCTCTATTAAAATACAAAAATTAGCTGGGTGTGGTGGCGGGCGCCTGTAATCCCAGCTACTGGGGAGGCTGAGGCAGGAAAATCACTTGAACCCCGGAGGCAGAGGATGCCGTGAGTCGAGACTGCGCCACTGCACTCCAGCCTGGGCGACAGAGCGAGACTCGTCTCAAAAAAAAAGAAAAAGAAAAAGAAAACATTTAGAGAGCTTCAAAATATTATCAAAATAATTCAGGCCAGGTGAGGTGGGCCATACCAGAAGTGCCAACTACTTGGCAGGCTAAGGGAGGGGACCACTTGAGCCCAGCAAGGCTGCAGTCAGCTATGACCATGCCACTGTACTCCAGCCTGGGCGACAGACTGAGACCCCATCGCTAAAAGAAAAATAATAAAAAAATGAAACGAAATAATCAGCTAGGTTTTAAAGTAATAATCCATTCCAATTACCCTTAATCTTTGGAAGTTTTCATTCTTCTATGCCTATATACAAACAGTTTTTAAATTCACCAGAACCAGTTACATTCTATATTCTTCCCAGAAAGATCTGAGCAGAATGCATTTTCACTGAAGTAAAATATTATACACTCTATGAAAAAAAAATTCCACAACATGTATCAACTCTACTTTCATTTTAAAATGAACCGATCTGAGGTAATAATATTTCAACCAAGAGAACTATGTACATAATAGTAAAAATTTGTTAAGAGTTAACTAGCCTCTGGGTGGATTTTTTTTTTTTCTTTTGAGACGGAGTCTCGCTCTTGTTACCCAGGCTGGAGTGCAATGGTGCGGTCTCGGCTCACCGCAACCTCCGTCTCCTGGGTTCAGGCAATTCTCCTGCCTCAGCCTCCTGAGTAGCTGGGATTACAGGCACGTGCCACCATGCCCGGCTAATTTTTTGTATTTTTAGTAGAGACGGGGTTTCACCATGTTGACCAGGATGGTCTCGATCTCTTGACCTCGTGATCCACCCGCCTCGGCCTCCCAAAGTGCTGGGATTACAGGCTTGAGCCACCGCGCCCGGCCTGGGTGGATTTTTTTAAAAGCAATGATTCTAGCACCATTGTCTGCACTGCTTATCCTACCTTCTCCTTTCAAAACCTGTATAGCTGAAAGGAGGGAGCAAGATGAAGGTATGAAGTAAAACCCGGCCAAGTGCTTCCCAAAGCTTCAGTCCCAGATATACCAAAATGGAATTTCAAGTGGGAAATACAAAGCCAGCTTTTAAAAAAAAAAAAAACCTTTACTTTTAAATTGATCATTTTTCAAGCTGACGTTGAAAGTCTACTGAAGCCTTATCTTCTGAGATTCCAATGAATGAAAGTTTGCACCTTCTAAGACAGTGCTACCATCCGTGCAGATTAACATTCACTGAGCTGCTAGAGGCATCCTGAGGGGCAGGTGGCTCATGCCTGCAATCCCAGCACTTTGGGAGGCTGAGGAAGCTGGATCGCCCAAGGTCAGGGGTTGGAAACCAGCCAACCAACACAGCGAAACTTAGTTTCTCTGCTAAAAAAAAAAAAATACAAAAATACAAAATTAGCTGAGCGTGGCAATGTGCACCTGTAATCCCAGCTACTTGGGAGGCTGAGGCAGAAGAATCGCTTGAACCAGGGAGACGAGATTGCGGTAAGCCAAGATCATGCCACTGCACTCCAGCCTGGGCGACAGAGCAAGACTCCCGCTCAAAAAAAAAAAGAAAATTCATGATGCTGCTGGAAACACAGGGAAAAAACCTCCACCGAAGTGAGAATCTAAACCTGCAGGAAGGAAAGCGGCAACCTTTAGCTGTCCACCACCCTTGCATGTATGAAACTAAACATTAAATATTTACCTCTAACACTGGCTATCGAGATAACAAATTTTACTTTAGTTATGGCTGAATCCAATAGAGCTTGGGAACTTTCTCCTCAGAAATATATTTACATAATGCCTATAGGAACATATTGCTATTGAAATGTAACCAAGCTAAGAGGTAGAAGATATAATTAGATGTGTGGATACGTATCCAGCACTCACAATGTGCACAGAACTTCAGGAGAAAAATTTTCACGATTTAGAAGACAACGAAATTTAACATGAACTGAGCACAGCTTCCCCGAGGGCTCTTTTGGAAAGCGCCTGGGAAATTTCAGGGCCTCCAGACCCGCTCTACCCACATCTGTCCTCTGGGGTTGAAGGTGCAGAGTAGGGAAATCCAGCTGACAAGTATTCAGGGAAGGAAAAAAAAGAAGTCTCCCAATTTTCAATGAGACATAGTCCACTTTCCTAAGAAAGTCTATCATATGGTCTAGGTCTCTGTAGAAAAAAAAAAAGAGGGAGTGGGAAAGAGAAAAAAGAAAAGGGAAGGAAAGAAAAAATCTATCCTCTAAAGCTGAAGCAACAAAATTCAACCTTAAATATACAGTTTCGCAGGGATCTAACAAGACCGAACATACCAGGTCCACCCACCAACAGAGCGAGGGGGAAACGAGCTCTCAGGATATGCAGTCTACCGTGGCCTGGGCACCCAGATTTTGCAATAGACAGTGCTTCCTTTCGAAGTATGAAAGACCATTAGAAAAAACTAACTGCACACAGGAATGAAAACAGAAAAAACGTCAAAGATCAGAAATAATAATAGTGAGCAACACCTCTCTGCAAATCATCAAAAAGCCAACCAAACATGTCAATACTTCCCAGAAACTCAGTGTTCTTAACTTGTAAACAACAGTCACACTTGTAAAATTTGGGGAAAATTTTTCCCATAACAAAAAGATAGTTCCTTTGTATAAGCAGTAAAGGAGGGGTGCGGGAGGAGACGACACCCAAGAGGCACCGGGTGTCAGTAGTGCAGACTCGCGCGGGAGGCTGCTCACGGGCAGCAGCTCACCGGAGCGCCCAGGCCTCGTCTTTCTCAGCCGTAAAACGGTTTGAGTGCGCGGCGGGGAGCGTCGTGCACGAGCCGAAGCAGTCCCGGCGGCTGTCGGACGCTTCCCCCTGCAACAAGCTGCTGCTACTTCGCCAACGCCTGCAACTCTGCGAGCCCCCAGGACTTCCCCGGAGTTGGGGAAAGGGCGCCCAGGGGGAAAACCGTCTGGCAGAAAAGGCCGGGGACCCCGGGGAGGCGGCGGCCCCGACTCGTAGCACTCAACGCCGGCGCGCGCCCCGTCCCGGGCAGAGTCCGCTGGGTTCCGCCGACCCCAGCTGCAGCCGGCCCCGAGGGCGCCCCCAGGGGTCAGAGGTCTCCCGGCGGGAAGGTCAGAGGGCGTCCCCGAGAAGTCGGAGAGCCCAGCCGCTGCCACAGCCCCGGTCACACCTCCAGGAAGCGGCCCCGCCCGGAGCGCGCCGGGGGCTGGAGGTCTGGGGGCGCAGGGGGCAGGACGCCGCGGCCCAGGCCCGCCCCACGACCGCCGCGCCCTCCCTGCCTCCGGGCACTCACAGGTGACGATGGGCTTGTTCTCCATGGTGTAGATCACCGGCGGCAGCGGCTCCTGAGAGGCGTCCATGGGCGTCCGGCGTCACCGGCCCGGCCCCCCGCGCCCCATGGGCAGCCCCGAGGCCGCGCCGGGCCCAGCCCGAGCCCGAGCCTGACCGGCGCCGCCCGCCCGGCCGCGCGAGGCAGCTCTGGAGCCGGTAGCGCCACCGCTGCCGCCCGCTGCCGCCGGCCGCAGCCACTTCCGGCCTCGGCGCCGTCGCATGACCACTTCCGGAGCGCGCGAGGCTTCACGGGGCGGGCCTGCGCGGCGCGCGGCCTCTGGCAGAAGTGCGCCCCGGCTGTTCGCACGGCCGCGGCGGCGCGAGGACGGGGAGGCGGGGCGAGGCGGGGCGGGGCGGGGCGGGGCGGGGCGGGGCTCGGCTCCCGGGACGCGGCCTTCATCCTCTCTCGGCCGGGGGCACCCCGCGGGGCCCTGCGCTGGAGCTGCGCCCGGGACTCGGCAGGCGGGCCTCGCGCGCAGTGAGTGAGCCAGAACGCGCGCGGGCCAGAGACGTCGGCATCGCCGCCCTCGCGCTCCCCGCGGCTCTGGGGTCCCGCAGCGCGGTCGCTGCCCCGCGGCCCTTCCCCTCCGCACGGGGTAGGCTCCCGCAGGCCCTTGGCGCTGAGTGTGCCCGGCGCCTGCCTTCCGCCTACCGCTGGGCCCTTCCTGTCTCCCTCGCGCCGCAAAGCTCCCGGCCCTTGGCTGCGCCTACACGGGGCAGGCAGCGGGGCGCGCTTTCGGAGTGCCTCGAAATCAGCCTCGCGCTTCACTGCATCCGGACGTCTCGGGCACGTGAACGGGGGTTTTCCGTTTCTTTTCTTGGGAGCAGGGTCACGCTCAGTTGCTCAGGCTGGAGTGCAGTGGCGGGATCGCGGCCCACTGCAGCCCCGACCTCCCGGCCTCCAGCGACCCTGCCGCCTTGGCCCCCCGTGTAACTGGGACCGCAGGTGCAGCCACCACGTCCAGCTAATGTTTTTTTTCCTTGAGTCTGGGTCTCCCCATGTTTCCCAGGCCGGTCTCAAACTGCCGGGCTCAAGTGATCCTCCAGCCTTGGCCTCCCAAAGTGTGGAGATTACAGGTGTGAGCCTGGGTTTGAGGTAACAAATAAAATAACGAATAAAATAACGAAAATTGTCAACCGAGAATAATCAAAAAGATCAGAATCTAGTTTAGCGTTTATTCAAGTGCAGAGTTTGATGGGCCACCCAGGAAACATTACAAAGAACGGAAGCGTTCTCAAACGTGGAAGTTTGGGTCGTTTACATAGGCAGCGTTTAGGGAAGCCTCACAATGCCCCCATCTTTCTGTATAGTCGGTGGTTAGCCGAGGGGGGCTTTTTCTTTTGTGACCCACTGAAGATGAAACAGTCATGGGGTCTCTGTGCTGTCTGGTCTGAGTTGGGCACAGGACAATGAAGGAGGCAGCTAATCTGAAACAAAAATCAGCAGTGGGTGGGGGGCACCTGGTCTTTCTCAGTCATTTGCATCAGCAGGCCCCAACTTTTTTGGCACCAGGGCCGGTTTCATAGAAGGCAATTTTTCCACAGACGAGTCTGAGGGGAGAGGGTCAGACGATTCAAGCACATTACATTTATTGTGCACTTTATTATTGTGTTGTGATATGTAATAACATAATCATAAACTTCCCATAATGTAGAATCAGAGGGAGCCCTGAGCTTGTTTCCCTGCAACTAGATAGTCACATGTGAGGGTGACGGGAGCCAGGGACAGGTCATCAGGCATTAGATTCTCATAATGAGCATGCAACCTACACCCATCCCTCCAATGTGCAGTTCACAATAGGGTTCACCCTCCTATGAGAATCCAGCACCAGCTGCTCACCCGGCAGGAGGCGGAGCTCAGGCGGTGATGCCAGTCGATGTAGGGTTCCCTGAAAGTCCTCGGCCTAGGCTGGGCTAAGCATGTGTAGGGTGACTCCATGGAGTTTACCAGGAAGCCGCTGTTACAGAGTTGAGGATGGCACAAAGACTGGAGGTCTAGCAGAGCTACAGGAAAGGAGTGGCTCACTGGCCGAGGCTCACCTCCTGCTGTGTATGGCCCGTTCCTGACCAGTAGCTGTCTGTGGCCCCAGTGGTTAGGGTTCTGTAAACCCTAATTTATAGAACGCGTACAATGAGGAAGAGAGTTAAGCTGCAATCTAAGAAGCAGAATTGCAAACGTGTTACGGATTGAATCTCCAGGGCTGAACTTCACCTTTGGCATAATAAGTTTAGAGAGTCCTGAAACTTTTTTAGCAAAATGTATGTATGAGATAGTTTGAATGTGAGCACAGTTGCTGAATGTGTGAACATAGTGTAGTGTGGTGCACCATAGTGTGAGAGGCAAGAGACCAGTATTCCAGGCACTAAAGCAGCAGGGCCGGCAAGGCAGGGCATTGAAGGGGAAGAAGCTTAGCAGGAGTGGGCAGCCGGAAGTGGACGTAGGGTTCCCTGAAAGTCCTTGGCCTAGACTGAACCAAGCGTGTGTGGGGTGGACTAACTGTGGGGCTTACCAGGAAGCCGCTGTTACAGAGCTGAGGATGGCACAAAGACTAGGTTCAGCAGAGCTACAGGAAAGGTCTTTCTGATTTATTTTATTTTTAGACAGCCTAGCTCTGTCACCCAGGCTGGAGTGCAGTGGTTTGATCATATCTCAGTGCAGCCTAGAACTCCTGGGCTCAAGGGATCCTCCCACCTCAGCCTCTCAAGTAGTTGGGACCACAGCTGAGTGTCACCATGCCCGGATAATTTTTTTAATTTTTTGTAGAGACTGGGTCCCACTCTGTTCCCCAGGCTGGTCCTGAACTCTGGCCTCAAGCAGTCCTCCTGCCTCAGCCTCCCAAAGTGCTGGGAAGACAAGTACGAGCCACCATGCCTAGACAAGACCTTTTTAATGCCATTAACCCTGAGACAGTCAGCTGAGACACTAGGTTGAGGGTCACCCCCCAGGGGTCAGCAAACTACCTCAAAAGGCACAGATAAGTGTTTTAGGTTGTGTGGGCCACATGCAGTTTTTGTCTCATATTTTTATTTGGTTATTTTTGTCTAAACAATTCTTTAAAAATATAAAGACCATTCTTAGCTTTAAGTGCCGTACAGAAACAGGCCATCAACAGATGGAGCTGTGAGCCAGAGGTTGCTAATCCCCCCCCTAAAATAAGGACTACTCCAGGCTGGCCTTAACAAAGTCTAAAGCAGAGCCCTGACACCATCCACAGGAGAGACAGAGTTTGGGTTACATCTGCCAAGTTAGAGGGGCCTGGGAAACAGCTGGGACATTCCTCAGAATCAAGTGAACAGAGCCTAAAACTAAACCTACGCAAGCCCAGCATGGTAAGTCCAGTAGTGGAACTACAAACTAGAACAAAAGTCCGGATTCTTCAGTAGAAGATCATCCAGAGTCTCTATGATTTGATATTTATCAATGTCGAATATACACTAAAAAAAAATCACTGAGCATGCAAGGAAAGAGGGAAATGTAAACCATAGTCAAGAAAAAAAAGCAGTTACCAGAAACCAACCCCACCCCTCCACAATGAACCAGATATTGTATTTACAAAGACTCTAACGCAGCTATAAATACATCCAATGGAGGCCAGGCATAGTGGCTCACACGTATAATCCCAGAACTTTGGGCGGCCAAGGTGGGTGGATCACTTGAGCCCAGTAGTTCGAGATCAGCCTGGCCATCATGGTGAAACCCCATCTCTACTAAAAACACAAAAATTAGCCCGGTGTGGTTGCTCACACCTGTCCCAGCTACTCAGGAGGCTGAAGCAGGAGAATCCTTGAATCTGGGAGGTGGAGGTGGTAGTGAGCCAAGCTCTTGGCACTACACTCCAGCCTGGGTGACAGAGCAACACTCCATCTCAAAAGAAATGAAAATAATATGCCCAAAGGATTAAATGGCAATATTAATGAGTAAAGAGTTGGAAATTCACAGCAGAATAACAAAGTATCTAAAAGAATCAAAAGAAAAGTCTAGAACTGAAAAGTACAATAACAAAATTTCACTAAATTAAATTAACAGATTGGAGAAAACAGGAGTTAGTGATCTTGAAGGCAGACGAATAGAAATTATTTAATCTGAGGAAGAGAAAAAAAGAGACCCATGGGAGAGTATGAAATGGCCAGAAGCATAGGTGATAGGGGCTCCAGAAGGAGAGTGTGAGTCTAGAGAAGGAAACTTTTCCACCAAATAATGCCCCAAATCCAAACACATGGTAAAAAATACTGATTTACAGATCAAGAAATTCAGCAAAACCTGAAGAGAACACATACAAAGAAAATTGCATGCAGGCATATCACACTCAAACTGGTGAAACAGATAAAGAGAAGAATTTTTGATGGGTGGACAGGGTATTGCTCTGTCGCCTAGGCTGGAGTACAGTGGCACAGTCACGGCTCACTATAGCCTCAGTCTTCTGGCTTCAAGCCATCCTCCCACTACAGCCTCCCAAGTAGCTGGGACCATAGGCACACGCCACCACACTGGCTAATTTTTTTTATTTCTTGTATGGGTCTCACTATGTTGTCCAGGCTGGTCTTGAACTCCTAACCTCAGGTGATCTGCCCATCTTGGCCTCCCAAAGTGCTTGGATGACAGGCGTGAGCCACCGTGCCTGGCCCTTCCCATCATTTCATTACGAGGCCACTCACTGTTTAAAACAAACAATAGCTTGTGGTAGTTGCAAAGTGTGTGTAGCAGTAAAAGATAAGGACAGCGTGAGCGCAGCTGCCGAATGTGTGAGTGTAGTGTAGTGTGGTGCACTGCAGTGTGAGCGACAGGAGACCAGACTTCCGGGGACTAAAGCAGCGGGCCCGGCAAGCAGGGCACTGGAGGGTTGGAGAGAGGAGGCCACCCACTGACAAGCTGCTGACACTGGTGAAGTGTGGAACTTCAGGGTGAGACACGAGATGAAGGGTTATGATGAACAGGGAAGACTGAAGTGATACAATAGACTCTAAATTAAACTTGGTATGTGAAGCTTACGTGGTCTGTGCCCTGGAGAAAAAGCACTAGGAAAAAAATGAACAAAAGAGGTTTGGCTAAGAAGAGAATGAAATAATAGAAAATGTCTGATTAATCCAAAAGAAGGCAAGGAAAGAACAGAAGAATAAAAAACAGAAAGGACCAGTTATTTCAGGAAAAGACACTCAGTACTCATTAGACATCAGGGAAATGCAAGTTCAAACGAAAATGAGAT